TCACATGATAGTGCCCCCGGTGCAGGTACAGCATAATTAATAGTAATACGAAGCAAAGGAGAAGGCAGAGTAAAACTTACTTTGAAGCATCATGAAGAACGTTTAGAAAAATATCGAGTTGTAATAGGAAATAGAATAGAAGGGTGAGATCATAGCAGCTGCTTATAAAACTTCAACAAAATCAGTCAATTTTCATTAGTTCAAAAAAAAAAAAGAGTAAATTATCGTGTCCGTTCCCGAAGGGCCAAGGGAACCATTAGTTTGAGGGATGTGAAAAGGGAATTCATCTGCAGAAAACAATTGACTGTAATCGCATCACCGGGGGGGGGGGGGGGGCATCGTCAATTTTCAAATACAGGACATGTACCCTGCCTACCTTTCTAAGATACCCGGCTGATTATGATTGTACATGTACATGTTTTGTGTGTGTGTGTGTGTGTGTGTGCGCGCACGCACGCGCGCGCGTGTGTATGTGTGTGTGTGTGTGTGTGTGTGTGTATGTGTGTGTGTGCGCGTGTGTGTGTGTGTGTGTATGTGTGTGCGTGTGTGCGAGCATACTGAGTTTGTGATACTTGTACAATGTAATAGCACCAGTGCTTACACTGGGGGGAAAGAGTCAATATCGAGATGAGTAAATGGCACATAAGCCACCATACATATAGTCCAGGGCTTGAAAGATAGTATAACAGAGCAAGACAAACTCATCAGTTCAAATTCCAGACTATTCTAAGCCGCCGCAGAATGAACTGACGTGAATAGTGGGTGTGAATGAACTGCGGTCTTGGAGCAGTTTGACGGCATCTTGGCGTACAGCTCTTTTGAAATGACTTAGCGAGGTGTAAGGGTAATCTCAATATCTCTGCTTGGATGAGTGACCAGACCATATTCTTTCTGAATATCATCAACACCTGCTAGCTGGAACCTGAAGCGTCGACACAGCATGCTAATCACAATCTGAACTTCGGCAATGGCAAACTGATAGCCAGGGCACCTACGGCCAGACAGGCCGAACGGCTCAAACGATCGGGCAGGTCGTGCGGCAACATTCTCTGGAGTGAAGCGGTCAGGGTCAAACCTTTGCAAACACAACAGAAGACCACAACACAGCACTCTAAATCACACCATATCTTATGGTTTGTAGAGTTAAAACGAACAAACAAGCTTGATGGAGAAATGCCAGTAATACAGAACATGACATGATCGTATGAGCAAGAAGTGAGGGGAGATAAGCACCGTCAACATGTCCATCAACACCCAATACTCTCAGGCCCAGAGCCAGCTGCTCATGACAGTACGTGAAGTGCAACACTTACAAGATGTCCTCTCCGGGACGGGAAATGATAAATTAGAATATGTAGTGACTTGAGCCTGAGGAGACTGACAACTCACCTGTCAGGGTCGGGCCAGATTGTAGGATCATTCAGGACAACTCCCAGTGCAATCACAATCGAAGACTGGACCGGGAAATTCAGAACAACAACAAATGACAGGCTCAAATGACACAGGTTCAAGGGACGTGCAGAAAAGCAACCTCTCCATCAAATAGTATAGTTTTATTTAGTTGGATTGGTCGGCATACAACACATATGTTTCCTTCCAAGCTTGCATGTGTAGTTGCTGAACAGGCATTCATGACCCCCAATTGATTGTTTCCCCAAGGTAAGCGGCTGTACGTGTATCTATGCGTGCATGTGTGTATGTGTCCATGTGTGTATGTGTCCATGTGTGTATATTATACGTGTGTGTGTGTGTGTGTGTGTGTGTGTGTGTGTGTGTGTGTGTGTAGTGTGTGTGTGTGTGTGTGTGTGTGTGTGTGTGTGTGTGTGTGTGTGTGTGTGTGTGTGTGTGAGAGAGAGAGAGAGAGAGAGAGAGAGAGTGAGTGAGTGAGTGAGTGAGTGAGTTCCGGGTTTTGTAGTGGTGTTGAGTTCGAAACAGGACGACTGACGACACATTATCCAGACATTACAACGGGAACAGGTAGGTTGGGGGAACGACATTTATTAGAGACGACGAGACAAGAGACCAAGACGAACGAAACGACTACATTGTAGAGTGAGAAAGAGATCAAGTCTGAACGGCAAAAATAAAGGGCCTGGGTAGCTATGGCAAATATGGGCGCGCAAGTAGCTACCCAGGCCAACGGAACAAAAGGAGACAAACGGTGAGTACGCAAGTGCATGCAGGCCAGCTAGAAAAGGTACGGGAGGAGGTACCTAACAGTGGAGTAGCTCACTCTCCCAGTAGCGTTCCTACTGGACAATCTGACAGTGTCCACATTCAAGACTGACAGTAGCCTCACTACCTCTCCCTCTTCCCTCACTGGATATCCAGTCACTGAGTGCTTTCTTGAGTTACTAGTGCAAGCTATGCTATCAGAAGTATGCAGAGGAATGTACCTCCGCCCCGTGCTATTAATGGAGACGTTCCTTTATTGGAGACTGTTCCCTTATTATTTCAACCTCATTTCAGAGGCGTTGCCATGCCAAATTCATGTCAGACACACACATTTCAGGGGTTTTTCGCCGGTACAGATCATGAATTTACACAGTGTGCTTATAATGGAGATTGAGCACTTTATTTTTTGAATGCCGCCCCAAGGTGTTCTATTATTGGAGACATGCTATTATTAGAGACTGTGCTTATATTAGAGATAATACGGTAATCGACTGTGCACTGCATGCAACGACTTACGTTCTATAGGCGCCGAGGGCGCCGGCCCCGGTCAATCGACTGGATTTCCATGTCCGCGACAGTACATTGTATTGCATTCGGTATTATTTTACTTGGGCATTCCCAACAGACCCTCTAAGACGTCTTCTTACAGGGTGCCCAAGATGAATGAGTGTGTTTTAAAGTTCCTGGTGAAATGAAATGGGGATATGATTAGTGCGGAAGGATTCGGGAAGGGCATTAAAAAGCGGTCAGCACCAAGGGATGAAATAGATTTGTACGTGACTGTACACAAAATACTTACTCCGGCAGGGATAGTGTAGCCGTTAAGTTCAATGTCTTCATCGAAGACGCGCGCAGCCCAAGGCGCCAGAACTGAACACCGCAGCGATTCATCGACAACCCGACGC